AGGGCGGGGGAGGGTTGGACACCTTTTTTTTGGGGGGGATAAAATAAAATAAATCAGGTTGCGGTACTCACCTCCGCCATCCCAACCCGGCTCCGGGGGCTGCATCACCGACATGCGGGCTGGGGAAGGAGGGGGGGGGTCTGCTGGCCAGGGGGAGGTGGTGGTGGGGGGCAGTTTGCCCCTGTCCCTCCCCCGGTTCCCCCCCCTCAACTCCTTGCCCGGGGCTGAATGAACCCCGGTGCCGGTACCGCGGTGCCGGTGATGCCGTGCTGGTTGCGGCTGCTCGCCGGCTGCAGCGGAGAGGGATGCTGGTGTGTGTGTGTGTTGGGGAGGGGGGAGGATGGCGGGGGGACAGCCTCCCATCGCCATGGATACCGGGGTACGCGCACGCACCCCCCCGCTCCCAAGGCAGCACGGGTGGGGGCAGCCCATGGGAAGCGAGGAGAAAGCCGGAGAAGGTTTGTTCCCTGGGGAGGGATGGACTCTTTCCCCCCCCTCTCTCCATCCCTGAGGTGCCCACGCTGATGCTGGTTCCTCTCTTCCCTCCAGAGGATGGCCGGTGTCCCCAGCAGCGCTCCTGCCCGTCCCGAGGTGGGAAACATGCCAGGAATGCCAACACAAGTGAGGAGGACCCCCGTCCTCCGCCCGGTGTAAATCACCCCTGCGGTGGGGAAAGCAACGTGGTCTTTAGGGATGCTGGTCCTGGCCGATTCCAGCTCCTCCATCATTGCCGGCATCAACAACCCCCCCCCGCCCCGGCTCTTACCATGGTCTTTTACCAAAGTTGGGTTTGGGCAAGTCTAGAAGTCAAATATTTCCATTCCTGGCAGCCCCCAGCGCTGGGCAGCATTTGTCCCTTAAAAACATGAAGGAGCAAACAGGGGAGATGTTTAAACACGGCATTTTGAGATAACGCCTGCAATTTCTCCCAGGAGTTTTTCTGCAGGCAGCCAGCTGCTAAGGGACACCAGCATGCCCACCACTGCCCTCCCTGCCACCAAGGAGCCACCCTCCCCGGGCCATATCCTGAGCCCCACAGCCCATTTCTTCCTCGGAAAGAAAGGGGCACCACTTGAAGACCCACACCACGCAAGGGGCGAGGGACGCACTTCTGGGGATACCCATGGGGTGAGCAGTGTGTGTGGACCTGCTGGTACCGGGTCACTTTGATTTACATGATGAAAAAACATGGGAAAAACCCAATTTCCCTGAAAAAATCCAGGGAGATATTGCTCAGGTCTGGGCAGGATCCAGCTGGAGGCACCAGGCAAGCTGCAGCGAGCACCTGTGGAGATCTGCAAAGCGGCTTCGTTGAGGAGAAGGTGACTGATAACTCAAATTTAGGTAGATATAAAAAAACCCACACATAACAGGAACACATTTAATCAGGCATTTTGGCACATTGCCGTATCAGCGATTCAAGGGGGAACCCTCACGGCTCCAGGGATGTCCCCCACCCATCCCAGCCCTGGACCAGGGCAGCAGATGCTCCCCATCACCAACCAGGCAGGACACCACGCTCCCCTGGGTCGCACCACAGGCATCCTGGCTCCTCTTCCTCCCCAAGCACTTGGCAAAACACAAAGCAGGAGATTCCCCAGCTGGGGAGCTGGCAGAGCCATCCCTTCGCGGAGGAACCCCGCTACTTGCTTTTTATTAAGAAAAAAACAACAAAAAAAAGAGGGACTGGCTGCCTTGCTGTGGATTTGGGACAGAAACAGGGATGTAGCGGGGACTGCCCTAAGCCCAACTTCGTGGAGGAACCCCGCTACTTGCTTTTTATTAAGAAAAAAAAAAAAATAAAGAGGGACTGGCTGCCTTGCTGCGGATTCGGGACAGAAACAGGGATGTAGCGGGGACTGCCCTAAGCCCAACATCTCTTGGAGGCAGTCGCCCCTCGGGAGAACTCGCCCGGGCACCCCAAGACCCTCTCAGACTTTGGGGATGGGTTCCTCTGGTGACAGCAGCAGGTCGAAGGGGACGAGGGGCCGGACGAGGAGCCGCACCTCGGGGCCGACAGGGTTGGCCCGCAGGTTGAGGCTCCGCAGCGATGCCATGGTGGCCAGCTTCTCCACTGGCACCTCTGCAAAAGAGAGCACCAAAGGTGAGCATCCATCCCGGCGTCGGCTGCCGGGGAATTCGGAGCAAACCCCTCTCCCACCAGTCCTCCAGGCTCAGATCAAACCAGAAACACCATCAAATATTAGAATATGTGACTATTTGAATGTCTCCGCAAGGTGCAGACACCGTGGTATGAAATGTGGACACTGTCCTCCAGTTCTCCCGGTCCTAAAAAAACCCCTGCTGGGGTGCTAAACTGGTTTTCAAAGACTCATTCCCCTATTTTACTCCCAGTGTTGCAATCAATGCCCAGGAGCCCTCACCAGGCTAACTGGAGAACATGTGCTCTTTGCCCTTGTTGGACAGGCTGCAAAATGGCTCTTGGCCATCGCCAGGCACCCTCCTATTTTGCAATTTCCATGAATTTGAATGTTTTCCTTTATATTTCCCTTACGTTTCCTTCTTACATTTAAAAAAGGTGCCCGTCTCATGGATGCTCCTGATATGAATCCACCGAGAGCAGAGGAACAAGACCGATATGAAAACCTAATCATTAAGATCATTAAAAGATGATAGATGTAACATTTTGTTGCAATTGACAACATTTTGGGCTTGAAGAGCCCACCAAGAACCTGAGTTTACCCAGAAGAGTTTGGTTTTAATTTGGCCACTGAAACAACAAGAGCCTTTTACATCCCCAGCCCTGATTTCTCCTGCCAATACCTGGAGCAGAATTGCAGTGTTGTGATTATAGCTGGCCGGGTGATTATGTGATTTGAAACCCAGGGAACTTATTTTATGCTGGAAAAAGTCTCAAACACCTTGATGGCTTGTTTTTTTTTTGTTTTTCCTCTCTCCTCCAGAGACCAGTACTATTTTCTGCAATACACATATTTTCTAGCAGTGCATCTCTCGTCAGGCTGAGCTTCACATGGATTTTTTTATACCTCTTCTTTACGGTGGATTTATTCTGCTCCCCGGTATCGCTTTGCATTTTTTTCCCCCTTGATGCACAAAAATTGATTTATCTTTTTTTGATAGATCTTTTTTAATGATCTTCTAAGGCTACACAGCAATAAACCCCCAGTTTGCTTAAATTTGAGGAGTTAAGGAAAGTATTTCAGGGAGCAAGCCTTGCCCAGGGTGGGAACAGCCCAGCTCTGCGGCTTAATTCAAGGTAAGGAGTGGTGACTCATCCCTGGCATGAAGTGACAGGCAAAGCTCACAGTGCAACCTATAGCTACATCGTTTGTGCCATGGGAGCCACAAACCCCTCTATCAGCAACCCAACGCATCCCTTGCCGGCTCCCCGGTGGATTAAGAACTTGCGTTTGAGCCTGAATTATTCATGCTGGCTTCCCCAGTTAAGAGAAAGAAAAAAAAAAGGAAGAAAAAATAAAAAGAAAAGGCTTTTTCATAATTAAAGCAAACTAATTTTCTCAGATCAGGAGATGATCATAAATGAGTGAAAAACCCAGCTCCTTGAGATGAAAGGGCCATCGGGAGGCATGCGAGGAGGTGGATATGAAAGGGCTGCCAAGGCATCCGAGGAGGTGGGTAATGAAGGCTAACAGCCCTGAAGGTCTCCCAGCCACGTGCAGCTGGAAATTGAAGGGGGAAGGACCCAGCTCAGCTCAGCGGAGCCGCTTCCCGGTCACGTTTCAGCATTACCCACATCCTTCGGTGGCCACCAGCCTCCTACAAACCCGGGGGTGGAAAACCACTTGCTGGCTCCTCTGCGGCGATTAACAAAGATGCATTTTCCACGCCATCTCGAATTAGGAGCGGCTCTCTGATTGCTCGGGAAGAGAAAATTAGCCACAGTTGCCCCCAGCAGTGTGCTGCCTAGCGTTGATAGTGGTCTCCAGCATCTCCCTTGCTGTCTCAACATCTTCTGCATTAAACCATTAATCAAGGAATAAGAGAAAGAGAAATGGAAGCTTCAAGCACCAAAAAACCCCATGGACTTGGAAGCTGAGAAGGCTAATTTGATATCACTCTGATTAGCAAGGAAGAAGTTAAAAGCACTGACATTAAATATATTAGTATATATTTCCTGCTTGACTGGCCTGATCTCCTTCTTTGACAAGGTGATCCACTCAGTGGACGAGGGAAAGATTGTGGATGTTGTCTGGAAGCTGAGAAGGCTAATTTGATATCACTCTGATTAGCAAGGAAGAAGTTAAAAGCACTGACATTAAATATATTAGTATATATTTCCTGCTTGACTAGCCTGATCTCCTTCTTTGACAAGGTGACCCACTCAGTGGACGAGGGAAAGACTGTGGATATTGTCTACCCAGACTTCAGTAAAGCCTTTAGTGCCATTTCCCACAGCATTCTCCTGGAGAAACTGGCTGCTCATGGCTTGGATGGACGTACACTTTGCTGGGTGAAAAACTGGCTGGGTGGTCAAGCCCAAGGAGTGGTGGTGAATGGAGTTAAATCCAGTTGGTGGCCGGTCATGAGTGGTGTCCCCCAGGGCTCGGTATTGGGGCTGGTTCTATTTAATTCCCCCAGGGCTTGGTACTGGGGCCGGTTCTATTTATCAACATAATCAACCTTTATCAACAACCTGGATGAGGGGATTGAGTGCACCTTCATTAAATCTGCAGAGGACACCGAGTTGGGTGGGAGTGTTGATCTGCTTGAAGGCAGGAAGGCTTTGCAGTGGGATCTGGACAGGTTGGATGGATGGGCTGAGGCCAATGGGATGAGGTTCAAGAAGGCCAAGTGCCGGGTCCTGCCCTTGGGTCCCACCACCCCCCTGCAGCGCTCCAGGCTGGGGGCAGAGTGGCTGGAGCTGCTCTGAAAAAAAGGACCTGGGGGTGTTGGTCAACTATTGGCTGAACATGAGCCAGCAGTGTGCCCAGGTGGCCAGGACTAACAGCATCCTGGCCTGTGTCAGGAATAGTGTGGCCAGCAGGACTCTGGCAGTGATTGTCCCCCTGTACTGGGCACTGGAGAGTCCCCACTTTGAGTGCTATGGTCAGTTTTGGGATCACGGGGAGGTGATGGTCCCCCTGTGCTGGGCACTAGAGAGGCCCCACTTTGAGTGCTGTGGTCAGTTTTGGGCTCATCACTAGAAGAAAGACATTGAGGTGCTGGAGCAGGTCCAGAGAAGGGCAACGGAGCTGGTGAGGGGTCTGGAGAACAAGTCTCCTGAGGAGAGGCTGAGGGAGCTGGGGGTGTTCAGCCTGGAGAAAAGGAGGCTGAGGGGAGACCTTCTGGCTCTCTCCAACTCCCTGAAAGGAGGGTGTAGCCAGGGGGGGTCGGTCTCTTCTCCCAAGTCCCAGGCGATGGGACAAGAGGAAATGGCCTCAAGTTGCTCCAGAGAAGGTTTAGATGAGATATTAGGAAGAGCTTCTTCACTGAAAGGGTTGCCAAGCAATGGGACAGGCTGCCCAGAGCAGTGATGGAGTTGCCATCCCTGGAGGTATTTAAAAGACATGTAGACGTGGTGGTGAGGGACATGATTTTGTGATGGACTTAGTATTTAAAAAACATGTTGATGTGGTGGTGAGGGACGTGATTTAGTGATGGACTTGGCAGTGCCAGGCTAACAGTTGGACCCAATAATCCTAAAGGTACTTTCTAACCTGAATGGTTTTGTGATTCTATACACAATTACACTCTAGGGTTAAGAGCATGTTGAGATGAAAAGGGCAGTTGGCGGCACTAAATGTCTGCTTTCAGAGCCCACAGACTCCAAGCAAGCCTTAATTGATCACCTTTTACTCCTCTTCCCCTTTAGCTGGAAAATATTACCTACTATCTCAAGCTGTGGTTCAATATGTCTTAGCAGGTGACTCACCCTTTTAGCAGGTGCTTTTAAACTGGTTTGTAGCCCTGCTATCAGCTCTCTCAGCTTCCCAGAGTGGACAGGCAGGACCAGGAATAGCACATAGCTTCAGTAGTACCAAAACCCAAATCATTTATAACCTTCATACCAATAAAGAAGACCACAACCATTCTCCATCTCCCATTTGTGGGGTATTCTTCCCTTGCCTTTTATCCGGAGGAAGGTCCTCAACTCGTTATTGGGCTAAGTGAGGAAGCCTGGGTCCCAATTTATAAAAGGCAGCAGAATGCAATCTCTCCCTATGCTGAGCTGGTTGGGGAGTATGGAGATGCTGCTGCTGGAGAGTTGTACCAGCTTTCAAGATGCCTCAACAGCCTCTCTAAGAATATGCCAGTTGCTCCTCATGAGAAGCAATCCTACTTCTAAAAGATGGTCCTCAGCTAGCTGTAGTGGGTGAGTTGTGTGCATGGAGTCCTCAGCTAGCTGTAGTGGGTGAGTTGTGCGCATGGACTGAGAGAGTTGGGGTTGCTCAGCCTGGAGAAGAGAAGGCACTAGAGAGATCTTAGAGCCCTTTCCAGTATCTGAAGGAACTACAGGAAAGATGGGGAGGGACCCTTTATCAGGGAGTGGAGTGAGAGGACAAGGGGTAATGGTTTTAAACCAAAAGATGGGAGATTTGGATCAGATATTAGGAAAAAAAAAGGGGAGATTTAGATTAGATATTAGGAAAAATATTTTCACTATAAGGGTGGTGAGATGCTGGAACAGGTTGCCCAGAGAAGCTGTGGCTGCCCCATCCCTGGAGGTCTTCAAGGCCAGGCTGGATGGGGCTTTGAGCAACCTGGTCTGGTGGGAGGTGTCCCTGCCCAGGGCAGGGGGGTTGGAACTTTAAGGACCCTTCTAACCCAGACCATTCTGTAATTATATGATGTGTGGGGGGAAGCTGCTAACTCCTACAGCAAGGCCTGAGATCTCCTGGGGTTAAACAAGTGTTCTGCTGCCATATTCCTATCTTCAAAGGGCTCAAATCCTACTTGCTGTTAAGAAAAATCAGAATTTGTGCTGGTTAAACCCAAGTTGATGGAGTCTCCTTAACTGGCCTTTGACTGCTGTGCCAGGCTGGTGTGGGAGGAAAAAGGGTATATAGACAGAAGCTCATAAATAACATATAAAACTGTATTAACCTATAAAAATGCATATATATATATAAATAAATGTGGACTTGTGTGCAGATAACTGGCACCAAGGCTCATCACACAGCCTGGCTGCAGGCTCCTGGGGTACTGTGCCTGTGCAGAGCAGGGAGCTTGGTCCATATGGAAGCTCAACCTGGAAGGCTTGAGGACAAGCCAGGAGATTCCACCACGGTCCCAGAAGGTGAAACTGGGGGTGGGATGCTTTGCTTGGGTGTGAAGGAGTTGAGCTGCTCTGGGGATGCTCCGGTTCCTTTGAAGGATATTGCTCAAAGGACCCCAGGAGGTATTGGGGAAGGTACCTAGGAATGATACAATTCCCTAAACTTTTGTTTCCTTGAAAAAATGGGCTGCAACACCCCTTGGTTTTCTAATTTCTACCTCTTCCCTTTCCAGAAAATGCATAAAATAGGCTGATCTTACATCTTTATGCACCCAGGGAACATTGTTCTCATTACTAAGATATGTTGCTAAAACATTTTAGATTGATATTGTTAATTTTTACCCTGTCATTACTTTTCCTGAGCCTGATAACAGCAGCTGAGGGCAGCCTGGCAGGAGGTGACCAAGCCTGGCAGCTGGATTTTCTAGCTGCCCTCTCCCCCAGGATTAACCCAGCTGGGCACCACCCTTCATATGTAGCCTATCCTCCATGCATTTAAGATGGGAATGATGCATGAAAAAGCTATATTCCCTTCCTGCTGCAACCTGCTTGCTGAAATGAGTGGGAAATAAGAAGTTTGGAGACCTTGGCTCCTCCGCTGAGTCTGACGGAAGCTGGATTAAGCTGAAATAAGGATGGAGGGAATTAAAAATGAGACAACTCTCTCCGGGAGGTGGGAGAGGAGAAAAAAAAAAAAGGGGTGAAGAAAACCTACATCTTTTGCTGGAGAATGAGGAAGCAGTATTTAATGTCTTGCATTTCTACAGGGAGCAGCTGATGCTGTTAATAAACCCGTGTTGCAGGGAAGAGCTTTCCCAGCTGCAGTCATCCTAGATAAAACAGCAAAATTGAGTGGACTTGATATTCATCTCCCTGGGGATCTGCGTGGGCTGGGGGATGTTCCAGCCTCAGCTCTTTGAAAGCTTGCTCCTAAATAAATCCTCTTTTATCTACGTGCTGCCCCTTTTGCCCGGCTTCTAGAGACTCCAAAGGCTTCAGCTTTGTGCATTAAAGATTTTCCTCCCACAGCAAGGTTCGGGGACAAGCAGCTTTTACAATTCCTTTCATTTATTTTTTTTCCAGGATATTTTGTAGTGTTACGGCTCCTATTTGCTCTGGAAAACGTTCAGGTGAGCTTGTGCCTTTATTTTGCCTGGCAGCAAACATCCCAGCCTGGAATTCTTGAAGCCAGTCCTGTGGGCAGGTCTATTTTTTTTTTATCATTATTAAATCTTGTGATTTTGAGTTGCAGCTGGAGCTGCCTTTGAGAGCCACATCTCAGCCTGGTGAATAGGGTGGCTTGAATGGAGACTGATTATTTCCCTTATGCCTACAAGAGCTTCACCCCAGGAGGCAACTCAAGCATTAGTGAAAGCAAGTGGCTAATGAGGCTCTACCTATTTAGCATCTCCCCTGTGCCTGTGGACCCTTCCTCCTGCCAAATTCGTGGCTGGATTGCTAAGCCATCCTCGACTTCAGCAAGGCTTTTGGCGTCGTCTCTCCCAGAACATCCTCAGAGGTGAGATGAAGGGGCAGAGTGGACCCCCAGCAAGTTTGCTGGTGACATAAAACTGGGAGGAGAGGTTGACACACTGTGCTGCCATTCAGTGAGAGCTGGGCAGAGAGGAACCTACCTAAAGTGGAGGTTCCTGCACCTAGGGAGGAATAACACCATGCACTGGTACAGGTTGGGGGTTGACCTGCTGGAAAGCAGCTCTGCAGAGAGGAACCTGTGAGTCCTGGTGGACAACAAGTTGTCCATGAGCCAGCAATGTGGCCCTGTGGCCAAAGAAGCCACTAGTCTCCTGGAGTGCATTAAAAAGGTCCAGGGAGGTCATCCTGCCCATCTGGAGGCCCCATCTGGAGCACTGTGTCCACTTATGGGCTCCCCAGTTCAAGAAAGAAGAAACTACTGGAAAGAGCCCAGCGGAGGACTACAAAGATGAGTGGCCTGGAACACTTTTCTTTTGAAGAAAGGCTGAGGGACCTGGGTCTCTGTTTAGCCTGGAGAAGACTGAGAGGATCTCATCGATGCTTATAGATATCTAAAGGGCAGGTGTCAAGAGGATGGGGCCAGGCTCTTCTCAGTGGTGCCTGGTGACATGACAAGGAGCAACAGGCACAAATTGGAACACAGGAAATTCTGTCTGAACACAAGGAAAAACTTCTTTCCATTGAGGGTGACCAAGCCCTGGAAGAGGCTGCCCAGAGAGGTGGTGGAATCTCCTTCTCTGGAGACATTCAAAGCCCTCCTGGACACGTTCCTGTGCAACCTGCTCTGGGTGGCCCTGCTTTGGCAGGGGGTTGGACTAGATGATCTCTGAAGGTCCCTTCCAACCCCTGCTATTCTGTGTTCCCTTGGCCTGGCTGCTTCTGCAGGGGATGGTGAACCACAAGCAGAGCTTCAAGCCAGCATCCCTCTCTGCCCAAGGGATGTGGGTCAGCATCATGGCTGGGAACTGCAGTTGCTCTGGGGTGCTGCTCATCCTCACCTCCAGTGGGAAGAAGTCCTTCTCACCTGTGATCTCGTTCTCTTCCAGGTCGATGGTCTCCAGGGTGGTGACAGTGGTCAGGGGCTCAGGGAAATGCCGAAACCTGTTGCGGGAGAGGTTGATGACCCGGAGGTGCAGCAGGGAAGTGACCTCCTCGGGCAGGCGGTGCAAATAATTGCCTGCCAGGTTGAGCTCTGTGGTTCAAGGAAGAGAGGAGAGAGTCGGTGGGGTGGGGGAACAAAGATGGAAAAAAAAATTTAATATATAGCTTAATTTATAGCCTCTCTCTCCCCCACAGGCTGCCAGTTCCAGCGATGCGGTTCCAACTCTGAAAATGGGATTATTTTTGCTCATCTTCATGGCTTGCTGTTGTACCTTTGCCTGCTGTGAGTATTGCTTTTAGGAGCAGTGTGTTTCTTGGCTTCCTTGGGCTTTCCTAATTAAACCTGTGCAACATTTTTCAAGTGGTGGCTGTAGAAATGAGCAGTATTTGTGAAGTCGGAGCAGTTCCCCCATCCAGACATTTGTCATGGCTTAAGGCTAGTTTTTATCTTCATGTGCCTGAATCCCTTCTGAGGCATAAACAGTGGTGAAAGAGATGTACTTATATGCAAAAAAAATACATATTCTACAGAGCTTAACCCTCTGTGATGCTTTTTCCCTCTAAAAATGAGCTCCTGTGGGGCCGGGAGGAGCTCTCCTGCATGAAAGCCCATAACAGGAATGCAAGTCCTGCTGTCCTTCTCCAGTAACACGGGGCTTTCTGCTCTATAAATACCCACGCAAGCTGCCCTGCCTCTGCTAATACCTGGTATTTATAGGTCCTGCCTTATTCAGGCTGGTGCAAGGCTGTCCCCAACCCTGGGGCATCTGTCCCCTGCAAGAGCCCTGCTGAGGTCCGGCACGTTCATCACTGGAGTGATTTCTTCACTGGTGGAGCAAAGCCCACGCTGGGAAAAGGGATTTCCACCACCCACCCACCCAGCTCCTCCCCTCGGGGCTCATCCTGCTGCCTAGAAAATGAAAACTGATTTCTTTCGCTCGAGGTGTTGCTGTTCTCCAGCTTAAGGGAGTTGTCACGGGTGACGGTCCAGCTCCACAGGAAGCCTCCCCAGATGCCCACCACAGTGACACACGTACAGGACCTTGTGGGAGCAAAATACTTGCTTTTAAAAGCTGCCAGAGCCCTGGGGCGCTGCCACAGGCAGGAGAAGCCTTGGTGCAGCCCCCAGTGTTCAAAACTGTGGTGGTTTTGCCCATGTTTTAGCAGATCTTCCAGGCTCTGCGGGGACTGTCTCCATCTCCTGCAGCAAGTGGAGTGAGCAACTATCACTGATGTCTCCCGGTGGGAGCTAATTAGCCAGCGGTGAGCCAGCATGCTGTCTGCAGCCTGAAGTGCCCTGTCTCTGCCGTGTCCCGTCGTGTCTCGGCTGCCTCTCCTGTCCTCTTTCATCCCCAGCCCCATCCTTGGAGGGAGATGGAGGATGAGTGACCCTACATCCTCCTGGCCACCACTGGTGGTGGCAGGGCATGAGTTTGGGAAGGGTGGGTGAGAGCAAAACCAGTGCCTTCTGTCTGCCAAGGCTGGAAAGGGTGAAGAAAAATGGATTTTTAGAGGGGGCTGAACTAAGGCTTGGAATGAAGTGTGAGTGCAGAGAAGTAAAAACTGCAGTGGGGAACCTCTGGTGATGTTCCTCCTCCTGCAGCAGCCGTGGGGGCCTCTTTGCTGGGTCCATATGGAGTGGAAGTGAAGTGTTGCAAAGCCATGAGGCTGTCCCTTACCTCTCAGTTGGCTGAAGGTGGTGACGAATCGGCTGGTGAGGGACTTCAGCTCGTTGTTGGCCAGGGAGATGTGGTGGATCCCCTCGGTGACGCTCCTCATGGCTTTGTAGATGCCGACGGGGAAGGCGATCAGCTTGCAGTTGGCCAGATCTGCCCCCAGAGAGACCCGGGCACCTTACAACGCACCCCAGGTGGGGTGGAGCAACGCTTGCCATCTTGTTTTCCACCCCGTAATGCTTGAATTGCCCATCCTGGTGCTGTCACCTGTGGATGCTGTAATGTCCCCTGCTGTACTCTTCCCTGCAAGCACTAAGAATGTCTTCCTAAGACTTTCTTCCCATCAGGAGTGTTAAGGTTGTCCCACTTTAGGTGTGTTCAACCCTAAATAGCATTGCAAATACTTCCACCCTGCCATGTCCTTTTAGAAGCCCTCACCCCGTTATTGTCAAATAACTTCACAACTTTAGTAATTCCCCCTCCCCTCCATCCCTAACTCCCTGGGGGTGGTCAAACGGTGGGAGGGATGCTTCCTCCACTGCCAACTGGGATGGGGATGGAGCAGGGCTTTCCCTGGGTATGCTCCTGGATGGATTTCCACCTTTGGAGTCCTCAGCACAAGGAGGACATGGACCTGTTGGAATAGGTCCAGGGGAGGCCACAAATCTGATCAGAGGGCTGGAGCCCCTCTGCTGTGAGGACAGGCTGAGAGAGTTGGGGTTCTTCAGCCTGGAGAAGAGAAGGTGCCGGGGAGACCTTACAACTGCCTTTCAGTATCTGAAGGGGGTACAGGAGAGATGGAGAGGGACTTTTACAGGGGCACATAGGGATAGGACAAGGGGTAATGGTTTTAAATTGGAAGAGGGGAGATTTAGATGAGATCTCAGGAAGAAATTCTTTGCTGTGAGGGTGGTGAGACCCTGCCCCAGGTTGCCCAGAGAAGCTGTGGCTGCCCCATCCCTGGAGGGGTTCAAGGCCAGGCTGGATGGGGCTTGGAGCAACCTGGTCTGGTGGGAGGTGTCCCTGCCCAGGGCAGGGGGGTGGACCGAGATGGTCTTTAAGGTCCCTTCCAACCCAAACTATTCTGTGACTCTTGTGGTGATGGGTGCTTGCCCTGGTGGCAAGCAGCGGGGAAGGAAAAAGGAGTTGGTTGCATTTTTTGCTTCTTGGTGGTTTTGTTTGGCTCTGAATCATTTCTGGGGACATGCAAGGGGATGGAAACCCTGTATCCTGGCCCCGTGATGCTCAGCCTGGGCTCTGCTGCCCACCCCCTCCCCAAAGCCCTGGCAGGGACTGCACAAGCTCAGTCCTCCCCTCCTTCTCCTCTCGCTCAGGAGGACGTGGAGAGGGTGTGCAACGAAGCTCTGCCTCTCATGGTTTGTACCCCAGGCTATCCAACATGCATAAAAATGAGCAGCTTTCATCCCTCTCTTTTGATGAACTGCACGTGGATCTGGGATATTAGCTAGAAACGGTGAAATTGCAGAAAAACATGCACCCGACAAGGTGACGCAGGGAGAGGTCTGGCTCCTGCCATCGCTTGCGAGGAAGGACTTTATCCCTGGGGCATGTCCCATAGGATGACGTGCCATGGCTGGGACCCCACTGAAGCTTCAAGGGGGGCTGAGAGCCCTTTGGGAGAGCCCTTCCCTTCCCTGGGGATGCGGGAGCCACTGGGGTAGCACCCAGTGGTGGAGATGGGAAGGGAGAGGAGGGGTGACAGGTTTTTTTAGACCATGGCAGCAAAAAATAGAGCCCTGCTCCCAGATACCTGATCCTTCTCCGGGCCCCAAAGGAGGAGCCGAGCCGGAGCGTTGGGCTTACCCAGAGAATCCGTTTTGTTCTCCACCGTGTCGTTCACCTTCCTGGCCACCCGGGCCACCGCCTCGCCCATCCTCTTCTGCATGCAGGTCCCCCAGTCCCACCAGGGACACGCTTTGGCTTTTGTGGGTGGGGAGGGATCCACAGCCGTAGGGAGAAACACAGCCGCTCTGACTTTCTCAGGAGAGGGATGCTAAAAATAACCCTTGGGATCAGCATTCCCAGGGGAGGGGGGGGGCGAAGCTGTGCTGGGGCTGGCAAGGCCCTCGGGGTGTGAGATTCCCAGCTTTCCAGGGTGGTGTGTTTGAGATATGGGGATGCATCCCCTGTTCTTGTTTGGGATATGGGGATGCACCCCCTTTCTTGGCTGGCGTGGTCCTCGGGGCACAGGATTCCCAACTTTTTGGTCGCTACTTTGGGAGATGCATTCCCTTACTCAGTGATTTGGGGATGGAGTAGCCTTTGGAGCATGGGATTCCCAACTTTTTGGGTTGGTGCATTTGGGATATGAGGCTGCAGCCCCTTTTCTGGTTTGTGATAGAGGGGTACGTCCCATTTCCTGGTTTGAGATGTAGGGCTGGTGTAGCCCTGGGGGACACGGGACTGCCAACTTGTTGGGTTGGTACTTTGGGATATGAGGCTGCATCCCCTTCCCTGGTCTGGGATATAGGGGCACGTCCCGTTTCCTGGCTTGAGATATGGGGATGTATCCCTTTTCCCCATGATCTGGGGCTGGCAGGGTCCTCAAGCACAGGATTGCCAGCATCTTGGATTGGTACATTTGGAATAAGGGAATAGGTCCCCTTCCCTGGTTTGGGATGTGGGGCTGGTGTAGCCCTTGGGGCATGGGATTCCCAGCTTTTTGGGTTGGTGCATATGGAATATGGGGTTTCATCCCCTTTTCTGGTTTGGGATACAGGGGTACGTCCTGTTTCCTGGTTTGAGATATGGGAATGTATCCCTTTTCCCCGTGATCTGGGGCTGGCAGGGTCCTCAAGCACAGGATTGCCAGCTTTTTGGAGCATGGGATTCCCAACTTTTTGGGTTGGTGCATTTGGGATATGAGGCTGCAGCCCCTTTTCTGGTTTGTGATAGAGGGGTACGTCCCATTTCCTGGTTTGAGATGTAGGGCTGGTGTAGCCCTGGGGGACACGGGACTGCCAACTTGTTGGGTTGGTACTTTGGGATATGAGGCTGCATCCCCTTCCCTGGTCTGGGATATAGGGGCACGTCCCGTTTCCTGGCTTGAGATATGGGGATGTATCCCTTTTCCCCATGATCTGGGGCTGGCAGGGTCCTCAAGCACAGGATTGCCAGCATCTTGGATTGGTACATTTGGAATAAGGGAATAGGTCCCCTTCCCTGGTTTGGGATGTGGGGCTGGTGTAGCCCTTGGGGCATGGGATTCCCAGCTTTTTGGGTTGGTGCATATGGAATATGGGGTTTCATCCCCTTTTCTGGTTTGGGATACAGGGGTACGTCCTGTTTCCTGGTTTGAGATATGGGAATGTATCCCTTTTCCCCGTTTTTGGGGTGCCACCAGCCACCCCCGAGGTGTCTTCCCACCCTTGCCATGAGTTGGCCAGCACCCGGGGCCAGCTGGTAGCCAGGTGCCGCCGGGGGTGTTTATCCCAGTGTGGAATTCGTGCCCAGATAAGAGCGGGCAGAGGCAGGGTCCTCAAGCACAGGATTGCCAGCTTTTTGGATTGGTACATTTGGAATATAAGACTATGTCCCCTTTTGTGGTTTGGGATACAGGGCTATGTCCCCTTTTCTGGTTTGGGATGTGGGGCTGGTGTAGCCCTGGGGGGCACGGGGCTGCCAACTTTTTGGGTTGGTACATTTGGAATATAAGACTATGTCCCCTTTTGTGGTTTGGGATACAGCAATACGTCCTCTTTTATGGTTTGGGATACAGGGCTATGTCCCCTTTTCTGGTTTGGGATGTGGGGCTGGTGTAGCCCTGGGGGCCACAGGACTGCCAAATTTTTGGGGTGGCACTTTGGGATATGGGGCTGCACCCCCTTCCCTGGTCTAGGATATGGGGGATACACCCCCTTTCCTGGTGACTTTGATCAGCTCTGCTCAGCCAAAACGTTTTTGGCAGCAGGAGCCTTGGAGACGCGACCACTCACCTTCCACCTCCCCTCCCCACACCGCCCCCCCAAAAAAAAAAAACCAAACCCAAAAACTGCTCTTCCCACGCCGGGAGTCGAACCCGGGCCGCCTGGGTGATTATATATACATGCTCATATCTTTCGTTGATGGCTAGAGCTCTATAAGATTTGAATGTTCCTACAAATCTGGTTCTTGCTGAGGAAGAAAAGGTGTGGTGTAGAATTTGGATTTTTTTATTTATTTACTTATTTATCCTTGAACAATCCTTGATAGTCAGTGAGTATTCAGACAATCTCCTTTTCCAGAAGGCTCAATCAAAATACCACGGTATGGTTCCCCCCCCCGGCTGCTTGCCCTCCCCGCTCTTATCCTTGAGGTCCACCAAGGTGTCCATCCTGCAGGGAGAACTTAAAATCCCACCCCATCCTTCTGTTATCCCCCCCTTTTCCACCCTTCTCCAGGCACCCGCATCATCTACGACCGCAAATTCCTGCTGGACCGGCGCAACTCCCCCATGGCCCAGACCCCACCTTGTCACCTCCCCAACATTCCCGGTGTCACCAGCCCCGGTTCCCCCGGTGAGGAACCCAAAGCAGATGCCAACAACCTGAACCACCAAGAAGGGAAGCCGTCCATGGGTAAGGGACCATCCCCTCGGAGGGGATTTGGGGATGGGGGAGGATTTGGGGATGGGGAGGTCACCTCCACCCAACTTCTAACGCTTGTCCCCCTCCCTGCCTTGCCTCCCACCAGGGGATGATGCTCAATTTGAGATGGATATCTGAGCGGGAACCACGGAGAGGCGGCAACTCCCCAGACCTGCGCACACCCCGTTCGGCTTAGCAGGATCCGTCCCGGCGAGGCAGAGGTGGCAGCAGTCCCCCGCCGGTGTCCCCCCCTCTCCCCCTCACCTTTTCCTCCTTCCCCCCCTCTTCTTTTTTGAGGGAGAACAGCTTCCAGAAGCCATGTGCCCCTTTGCGGGTGACCGGTCCCGAGTATGGTCCGGCCAGAGCATCCCTTCTGGATCCGGCCCTATTCCTCCTCGTCCCCCCGTTTTCCTCCTTCCCCCCCTCTTCTTTTTTTGGGGGGCACACCTTCCAGAAGCCTTCTCCCCCTTTGCGGGTGACCAGTCCCAAGTATGGTCCGGCCAGAGCATCCCTTTTGGATCTGGTCCTATTCCTCCTCGTCCGCCCACCGCCAGCCTGATCTCAACCAGGCTTCTTTTTTAAACCATCCCTTTGCCTCTCCTGCTGCCTCGTGCTCCTCCTTCTCCCCTTAAAAAGAAAAAAAAACAAAAACAACAACAAACCCCTTCTCGTTACCCCAAACCTGCTGCTGGCAGCCTGGCCATCTGGAGCTGCATCACCCCCCGTTCTGCCCCTTCTCCCAGAAAATTTGAGCAGCCTCTCAGGAGGAGGGGGAAAGCATCGATCCTAAAACCGAGTGCCTGCTCACACCCTGGGGAGGGTGTGTTTTTCTTTTTTTTCCCCAATTCCCTTGGGACCTACGGGCCTTCAGAGGACAACGTTGGAAGCCCGTTCCCTTCGGTGCTCTGGGCACACGCATCTTTCTCCTGCCCGGATTCCTTCAACCAGGGGCTGCATCCCTCACCCACCAGCCAGGACTCAGAGCGACGTAGCCATATATTACAAAAAAAACCCCCACAAACCACCTTGCTTTTATTTTTTTTGGTACTAAAAAGGGGCACTAAAAAGGCTTCTTTTTTTTTTTTTCAGGCTGGGGATGAGCGCCTCCGGGAAAGTGCTTTTATTTTATTTTATTATCTCCCCCGCTCCTTTCCTTTCAAATGTGAGTGATACAGGAGCGAAATCCCTCGGCGCCGGTGGATGTCTCAGGAATAGCTGGGCACCCTGGGGGGGGTGGGATGCAGGATGGGATGCAGGATGGGACACCACAGGGATGTGATGCTGCGGTCCCTGCAGTTCTCCGGTTGCGGGGTGCCAGCCTTGGTGCCATCCTCCCCTGGCTTTTCATGCTGGGGCTTCCCCCCAGCCAGGTTATGCTGCTGTGGATAAAGGCTTTCTCTATTAAATTCCCAGCTTGGCACATCGTGGCCATCCATCCCGCCTGTGCCCAGCATCTTGAACCCCCCCTGCCCCAAACCTTGAGATGGGATGTATTTTTTTCTTCTCTCTCGGTGCAACTCTCGCCTCCAAGAGTGGCGTTTTGGGTGAGGGGGTGCGTGGCAGGGGGATGCCACAGGGGGGGCCGTGTCCCATCCCTCCTGACCTCGCCAGCCCCCTAATTATTTTTTTTAATATTTTTTTTTTTTATTTTTTAATGGCCTATTGGGAGCCATCGGCAGCTCTTGCGACCTTCTCAAGTGCCATTTTATCAGCCCCCCACCTTGAGTGCCTGCTCCATCCATCCATCCGTCCCCCCCAGCCTCGCCGGGGGTCCCCCTCCCCAGTACCCATTCCCAGGGACCTGTTGCCTGCCGGGGTGGTGGCTCTGTGTGCCGGGGACATATCCATGCCCCAGGCTTTGTGCACTTTCCGTCTGCTAATTTATTTCTCTAGGTGTGTTTGGCGCGGCGGCTGGGTGTGAGCTCTCGTCTTCCAGCTGCTTTTTTTTTTTTCATCATGGAACAAGTTAATAATTAAATGTAAAATAACTATTAAATAATTAATGTAAAATAACTAATAAAAAAACTGCTTCATCTGAAACAAAGCAGTAGAGGTGTGTGTGTGCATGTGTATATATATATTTATTTATATATATATATATATATATAAAAAAAAGAAAATATCCAAGGACAACTTAAACTTACGGACAGGAGCCGGAGGGAAACCACTTTTGTTTTTTCTAAATGCCCCCTTTCCCGACCTTTTTGTCTCCGTTCCCCATCCCAGCGACTTTCTCCCGGTTCTCTTTTATAACTGGGCTCGGGGCTGAAGAGCAGGGAGGGAGTGCCTGGCCTCGCCGGGGCAGCTCCTCTGCTAGTCAGGGTATATATATATAAAGATTTGGGGTTCGTTTGGTTTGTTTTGGTTTTTTTTTTACCGTCTCTTCGAGCAGGTGTTTGGGAGTAGAAAAGCTCTCACCAGTGGTTGCTGTTACAGTGAGATCAATAAAGATCTTGATTCTATTAAATGGAGGTGCTGGAGGTTTCTTCTGACCGTGATTTGGGGTGCAGGGTGGGGGGTGGATGTTCCCTTTGGAGCAAACTGGGCTTCACCCCCCTTTCATGGGTCAGCCCTCCTTCCTTTTCATTTCAGCTTTTTTATTTATTTATTTATTTATTTATGTATTTCCCCCCCCCTTCCAAATTCTTTAGGTGAGCTGCTTTCCACATTTCCAATTTGGAAAAAAAAAGGGGGGCCAAGGACCCAGCGTTACAAAGAGCAGGGGAGGGTTAAGGGGGGAACTCAGCAAAATTTCGTGTAGAGGAAAATCAGGTTTTAACATAGGAAGGAGATCCCACCTACAAAATTGCAGCAAATTGTACATTTATCTTGTACCACCAGCTGCGGAAACGTATAGATGGACCTCCTTGGCATCAAACCAGAGAGGTGCCAGGGGAAGTCCCACTTGGGACATCTCCCACCCGGCCTCCAAAGGGCCGGATAAACCCTTGAATTCAAGCCGAGCTTAAATTGCAAACCCCCAGCAATTTCCCATGCTGCCAATAAATGCATTTTTACACCAACCTGGGGGTACCTCCCCCCACCCTCCATCCTGTGACCCCCCTCCGGCTGATACCGAAAGGAGCATCCATCATCACGTTGCCCATCTCAGAAACGTTGGCTGCTGGGCTAACTAAGGCTAAGGCTGTTGTGTTAAACTGGGTTTTAGCTGCAAAGCCACCTCCCAAATTGATGCTGGCTGAGGAGAAAGTGTGTGGGTACAGCCACGTTCCTCCCACCTCTCCATGCCCAGGAGGACATCATTGAAAGCATCCCTCAGCCTTGGCTCCTCCTGGAGGGACTCAACCCAGGGTCCTCCCTTGTGCTGCTGCAGGTGTGTTGCCATAAATTATCACTTTAATAATATATTTATATATTTAAGTTCAATTCAGTTCAATAATATTCAATTATTTTTATTATTATGCTCTTGCTTCATCGCGCTCCTCTCCAGCCTGATCCTGAGTAAAAAAGAGGGGTGGAGGAGGGGGGGATGGAGAAGGCAGTGGTGAAATCCCATTCTTCGGAGCTTCTGGATGTGGCTCCCCAAATTCTGGCTCTGCAGATTGTTTCTTACCTGAAGTCTCTGTTAAAAAGACTGTCTGGGCAAAAAAAAAAAATCCAGAGGAAAGCTGTGTTACTTGGAAACAGGCAGCAAGGCTTTTTAAAAATTAAAAGAAAATAAAAAAATAAGGCATTTTTTTTCCTTCCACTGCTGACCGGGAGCGGCGGATCGTGGCTTGGTCTTTTTTTTTTAATTGTGAAATGTTTGCAGATTTTGGAAGCGGGTGTGCGGAGGAGAGGAGCAGGATGGAAAAGATGCTGATGAGGCATTTGGGAGCTCCCGTCGTCTGGGCCTGGCTGAGCCCGTGCGATGCCAAGCTCAGAGGATCAATAACTGGTTTCCACCCAGATTTTGGGGGT